GCTGAAAATCCAGAGTAAATTTAACATAGGGCTACAGATTGAATACGCCTTTCTTAAGTGAAAATTTCAGATGTGTTCTGACCCAGAATATGAACAACAACAAAAAAAGGAACAAAAGCATTTACTTAATTCTACAAAAAGGAATTCAATTTCTAAAGCTCTCCATCATTTAAACATTTGAAATTGCTCCAGGGCTTGTGTTTGGGATTGTGCAGTCATGTTGCCCCTGGAATTCACTTCTTAAGGATCCAGATTGAGCAGAATCAAGATACTGGGATTTATGCTTTCTAATAAACTGAGATAATCAGGAATGTCACAGCAATTTCTCAAAAACACTATAACCTGGCAAACCCATTAACCTTGACATAACTACAGTTGACTCTTGAATGATACAGGTTTGAACGGTGTGGGTGTGTGGGTCCACTTCTATCCCGATTTCTTCTGCCACCAAAGGCAGCAAGACAAACCCCTCCTCCTCTTCCTCTTCAGCCCATCCAATGTGAAGACAATGAGGATGAAGACCTTGATGATGATCCACTTCCACTTAATAAATATAACTGTATCTTCCCTTCCTTAGGACTTTCTAACCTTTTTTCTCTAGTTTGATTGTAAGGATATGGTAGATAATAACATTTAACACACAAAATATGTGTTAACTATGCTATCAGTATGGCTTCTGGTCAACAGTAGGCTATCAGCAGTTTTTGAGCAGTCAAAAGTTACTCATGGATTATGAATTATGCAGGAATCAGTGTCCCTAACCCTTGCATTGTTCAAGGGTTAACTAAAAGGGCAGAAGAAAGGTCATCTCCCGAATAATTCTCACAGCTTCTAAACAAAAGGAGTCCCCTAAATTTTCCTGATTGCATGGTTCTTCAAAGAACAATGGCTGAGTAATTCCACCATCAAATACTTCTCTCTGTTATCTATCCTGATCACTCTCTGGGCTTTGCATGTCTTGGATGTATAGCATATATAGGCTGGGATATATACTGTGAAATCTGTTTGTGAATTGCTAAGAGCTAACAAGTTTAAAAATACAGTGTAGGAAAATTACTCATGGTTGTGGAGGAGGATGGGGAAAAGTGCCAAATGGGCTTTTAATGAAGCTGTCTCAGTGTGAACATATGTAAAAATAACTTAGATATAGGCATTATGATGAACAAAAAAGATCTAGCTAAGTTTTCAAGAAAACCTATAGGTACACAAGATCCTGGTGATTTATAGGTATGATGAACAGCTTATTCATGAAGGACCATTTTGTTTCCTGTTAGTGGACCAACATACTTGGCTCCCCAAAATCACTCCAACTAGACAAAAGATATCAACACATTAGTCAGAAATATAGCTTTATTATCATAATATTTCATAATTAAAAACTTCTTTAATTCTGGGAACAGAATATTCCAACTTCTGTACAACTGACTGGCCCTGCAGAATACTGGAAAAGTTTCTAAGCAACCTGAACCTTGCAGATAAGAATCTGTAACCTAGTTTGAGAAAAAGGGAAAAAGCAAGAAAAACAGTTCAAAGGAAGATTTCTTCCCTACAAAACAAATAAAATTAAATCTATTCTCCAGTTTAACCTTGAACATAGTTTCCCAGAAACTTTGGTAATTTCTTCAAAAAAGCAACTGCCTTACCTCTAAGGTCAACCGCCCATGTGGACAAAGAAAATATTTAAAAATAAGACACAAATGGGACATGGCATATAGCTCAGGCCATGGTGTGTTAAGTGGAATATGCTTCAGAGTAAGCCATCTCCCATGTTTTGACACTAAATTTATGTCTCTAAGGAAGCACAACACACATAACACTTTTTTATATGGCGGTCAAAATTTGGCAGGAACTTAAAAAAAATTTTAATATAATAAATCTCAAAATAATTTGTCTTGTGAAATATAGAGTAGGATAACATGATGGTACTTTCTGAAGATCACGGGGTGCCACGTCACAGAGAGTTGCCATGCCCTCTAGGTATGTTAGATGAAAATCCAAAATGTCAGTTACTTTAAATAAAACAGAAACAAGTTGTCATTGCACACACATTACAGGACAAAGATCATGCAATAGAACTAACAAGTCATGTTTTTAGTATGTAAAAGGCTAAAGTGCAATCATGGTATAAGCATCAATAATAAATAACTTTAGAAGAGGAAGTTCATTCTCCAAATTAATAATAATTATAACATTATCATTTTTACAATATTAGCCTAAACAGTGATATTCACAGCAATGTTTTTCCCCACTTGATAGCCGCCTATATATCACATGAATGATCCACCCCCATAAGCCAAAAGTCAAAGTGAAGATTCAAAAATGAACATTTTCACTATAGTAGGTTCAAAATGTTTGTATAATGATAAGTTACTGGCGTTTTAAGTAACTGCTTTATTACCTATTTTTAATGCACTGCTAATTTGATGCTTATTGCAATAACAATCATAATTCTGCCAATGTTAATTAGGTTACAGTTTTTTTTAAATAAGAGAATTCAGTTTACATGAACAAATATACCTAGTTTAAAAACCACCCACCACAAACATACACTTTCTCCATGGGTATTTAAAAATAAATTATTAATATACTTAACATATATATTTTGTATGTGTTTTATATATATATTTTTGTGGACAAAATTATCCTGTTTTCAGAAGAATGTCAGCACTTGTAAACTCTGCATGAAACCTGACGATATTGCTAAATTTAAGAAAAAAATAACATGGAAATTCATTCTTGAAGAAAATCATACAGCAGGAAATTTTTAAGATAGCTCTTTGAGGAAAAAAAAGCCATTTTAGGGAGGGAAAGAGGGGAAGACAGTGTCAGATTCTGGCTCCTACATGCATTGTTTATTTCAGAAATTACTTTAGAATGCAACATACTTGCAACAGTGAATACTTCAGATACTTGGTTGAAAGATACCTGAAGCCTTAACTGCACAGAAGCAGCAGGAGGCCAAGTGAACCACTCAGTGGAAAAGTTAAGCCAGCAAAGAGAAAGTCATGCCCACAATAGACAGAGAGGGGGCCACTGACACTGTCTGGGAAGCAGGTCTTAGGAAAGGGCTTGGCGACACCTGCAGTGCTTCCAGGATGGTCACGATGCACCAAGCATGCATTCCAACCTCCTAGATACCGAGCCCACACTGGGTGCAGATCAACAGAGGTTTTTACTGGGCTCCCCAGCCATATCCACAGAAGCAGCTATTAAGATAGAGACTGACAGCATGGTCTGCAGGTGCAGAATACTCAGCCAAAGAAGACAGCAGAGGTGTACCAAAATCTGAACAAACATGCATCTAGGCCACCAAAAAACCTCAATCAAACAAACAAACTGAAAGACACTCTGTCGAAATGAGAACTGAAGGCTGACTGAAGGAGTTCCTGGAGCAACCCAGAAATTGAAATATTGATTAACCAGAATACTCAGGGAATAGGAATCCTTATTTTGGAGGCTTTCAAATTAACTGAGAGGAAGGTTATACTCAAACACAACTATCTTCATTTTACTGCTACGAACAGAACTTTACACTCCCATTCCTTGCCTCACACTTTGGAGAGCAGTGGGCACAGATGACTTTTCTCCCTAGGCCTGACATATCGTGTGGCCTTGGGCCTGAAAATTAAATGACCACTGCATAGATGCCCAGAGGCCAAGATTGCTGGAGACTGGATCAGTTACTTTAGAGGTTAGGGCTTTAAGAATGATTTAATGTTTTTATTATTTCTGTAATGTGCAAGCTTCTAAAAGGGGGTCATCATACAATTCTGGTTTCCTAAGATTCCCATTTGCTAAGCTCTGGTTAATCGAAGTGCTTGCCTGTGTTATGCCCTTGGCTCTTCCAATGTGTCTTACTATGGAATGTTTCCAGAAAGACATTACTGCTGGACCCTGGAAGAACATTTCCCAAAGCCCAGCGATAATTGGTGCAGCAACATCCACCCTTTTAGATGATGTTCACAATGGCTGTTGGCTTTTTTTTAGCCATTTTGGGCCTGATGTTGCCTTTGCGGCCAAACCCCAGGAGCTCCCCTTTCTTTGGAGGTCTGCAGAGGTCTCTTGAGGACTCAGCGTGTTCGTGAATGCCCTTGGCAGGCTGCATGCTGGCTCTGTCATCCTTGGCCTTTTTCAGATAGTTCCTTCCCTTTGGATGGAAATGGGCCTTGAGATCAGGGTGGTTACACACCGAATGCGGGTGCCCTCGGCTTCTACAGATGGTTTGGGAGAGTGGAGAAGAAGTGAGCAGAAAGATTTCTTTAAAATCTTAAAAGAATAACTACTCATGGCACAATCTCTCCTATATGTTACAGTGGTGATAATGCTACCCGAAAGACAAATCATATATATGGGTATTTTTCTTCCAAAAATTCCTGTGGCCCCCATGAAATGATCACATGGTACTACATTCCCAGGGAGATATTACTAGTCCTATTTACAGTGATAAGACTGAGGCCCAGAAAATGTCAGTGACTACCCAGAATAATACATACAGTTGGTCTATGGAGAAGACGGGACCAAAACCCATGTCTCTTGACTCTAAGTGATGACTAGAGGACTCAGACAAATTCACTGCATAGATGTTGTAAAGCATATGACTTCCAGTATGAATTTACATAAACAATGTAATACATGAACTACATTCATAGTACTATAGAGTTGTCATGACCACACTATACCTCAATAAGAAAAAGTTACACTATACAATACTCTAAAAATACTCCTCCAGTACCATCATACTGGCATATACTAATAGACTAGTAGCATACTGAAAAGTCACATCGACTTTTCACAAAGTTAGGTACACGTGCAGGTCAGTTTTCACTTAAGCCTTTCAAATCCATTAGTAGTATAGATAACATATAAAATAGACATGATCTCACATAAAAGGCAATAGGAAAACATACAATACAAACATGATCAAATGGTCCAAGTATAAAAAGACATACATACAGGCATTTGGGTTTCCTGTTTGAGGAGATGTCTGTAAGCTAAAGGAAAACAAATAAGAAAAAATGTTACTGCATTTGAAGGCCGGATTTGGTTTTTAAAATATTTCTTGTATTTTCTAAAAAAACTGCATTCCCAATCAGGGAGTCAGTGACTGTTACTGATAGGGTGACCTGCAGCACCATCCATCTCATCGGTGAACAAGAACGTCTCATGCTCAGCCTTTGCTTGCTTACTCCAGGAGCCTCTGTGGGCATTTGTTCTGAGATTGCCAAGAAGTCTATGTCAGCAGATCTCAAAAATCTCAAATACTCAAAAGAGCCTCCCAATAGAGCAACATTAGAAGAAATAGGTTTTCAAATACTGGAATGCCTTTGCATCCTCCCACTTGTAAGTGAGAACTTGGTTTTCCATTCCTGAGTTACTTCACTTAGAAAAATGTCGTCCAGGCTGGGCGCGGTGGCTCAAGCCTGTAATCCCAGCACTTTGGGAGGCCGAGACGGGTGGATCACGAGGTCAAGAGATCGAGACCATCCTGGTCAACATGGTGAAACCCCGTCTCTACTAAAGATACAAAAAATTAGCTGGGCATGGTGGCGCGTGCCTGTAATCCCAGCTACTCAGGAGGCTGAGGCAGGAGAATTGCCTGAACCCAGGAGGCAGAGGTTGCGGTGAGCCAAGATTGTGCCATTGCACTCCAGCCTGGGTAACAAAAGTGAAACTCCGTCTCAAAAAAAAAAAAAAGAAAAATGTCCTCCAGCTCCATCCAAGTTGCCGCGAATACCATTATTTCATTCCATGTTATGGCTGAGTAGTATTCCATGGTGTATGTATACCACATTTTCTTTATCCACTCATTGGTTGATGGGCATTTAGGCTCGTTCCATAATTTTGCAGTTGAAAATTGTGTTGCTATAAACATGTGTGTGCATGTGTCTTTCTCATATAATTTACTTCTTTTCCTTTGGGTAGATACCCAGTAGTGGGACTGCTGGATCAAACAGTAGTTCTATTTTCAGTTCTTCAAGGAGTGGGGTAAGGGATAAAAGACCACACATTGGTATAGTGTACATTGCTCGCATGATGGATAGACCAAAATCTCAGAAATCACCACTACAGAATTTATTCATGTAACCAAACACCACCTCTTCCCCAAAAACTACTGAAATAAAATACAAACATACATAAAAATAAAATAAATACATAAAATTCAAAAACCTGGAATGATCCGCCATGATTTCTTGACTGATTCAAGCTGTATTTGCAGCTAATCTACAGCTATGGCCAGATTATCACAATGTATCAACTAAGGAGAACATTGACATAAAAGGTTTCTTGCCTATAATACATCATTTCTAAAATGAGAGAACATGAAGAACAACCCCACAACTCTCCCTGAGTCCATCTATCATCCAGATAACTTCCCACTCCTGATAATTCATGCAATAAAACATCTGCATGCACTTTTGTGGCTGGGCTTGAAATATTCTCATCTGCAGAATAAATTGATAATTATCATTTTGTGATAGAGATGGCACCATCCAGTTTATAGGCAGATCCAGTATATTTTCATCCTCCTGATCCTGATCTTCCTCATGTAGCTTTCACTAGAATAAGTGTTATCACATTAGCAGGCAGACTGACAGAAGAGAAACGACAACTAAAATGTGGAGAAAAGGCCACCTTGGCATTTGGGCCAGTGTGGCCAAGACATGTGTCCCTGCTTTACTAAAATAATCTGAAAACCCAAGCTCAGGCTAACAGGATCACTGCCCATATTATTCTGTCTGGAGCAAGCTACAAAAGAGGTTCCTTAAGAAAAAACAAAAAAAGAAACAAAACTGAGGCTCATGTCATGAGGAGGCAAGATGGGATTCTTGTGTTCTGTCTTTTGACACAATCAGAACTCGGCAATATTTTGACCCTGCTCATGTAGGCTGTGTTTGGCTTGAGATTAGTAAATTGTAACAGAAAAAGGCACCATCCTCACATGATGTCCCAAAGATTATGCTACATACAAAGAAGGTGGGACAGATGGCTCTGGCAAATGCCAGGCTGATAGATTCTGAGGACCCTGAAGGCACTGGCATCAACCTTCTTGCTCTCTACCCCACCATCACCAGTAAGTATTTCTCAGCTGGGCTCCTTCAATGAACTTTAGTCAATGTCTAAACTGTAAAAATAAACAGAGTTTTTCTTCCTTTAAATCTTTCCTCATTTTTTTTTTCATTATTAGGGCAAAACAAACTGTGTTCGTTTTACAGTTTGTATATATGTAAGTGGCAGTTTAATGATTTATTGCATACGTATGTATACATACTATCCTTTGGAATATGTATATTCCAAAACAGAGAGAGAGAGAGAGGGAGAGAGAATACGTTTGTGTGTATGCTTCTGTCCCTAAGAAAAAGGCCAGTAGTGTTATCACATGTTCAAAGTGATCTCTGATTTCAAAAATGTTTTTAGAACTACTACCTTAGTGACAATGAATGTCACTAATGGACCCTGCTGAGACCTCAAGAAAGGACTTTACTGTGTCTTATTGAGGGGGAAATGCGTGATAAAGATGAGTAAAGATGCATCATGAAGCTCACATATATAAGGGTACTACAAATTGTGCATGTCTAGATGTCACATGCCAGGTCAAATACTGACCATATAACAGGCAGGATTAACGCTCTCAGCCACCCTTGGAGGTAAGCATCATCATTCCAATTTTACAGATATGGAAACTAAGGTAGCAGAGTTAAGTAACTGATTTGAAGCCTCAGTGCTTTATCAGTGTTAGGGCAGGCTTTCAGATCCAAGTTAGCAGACTCCAAGCCTGAGCAAGCCTTCACTCTGTACTGTCTTCTTTAAAAAGGATGTGTTTGTGTATATAAGTAAAGAGGAAAGAAGTATGTACACAATAAATTAAGTGGAATCAGTGGCTGGACTGGAATTTCTCCAAAGATCCTGTAAATGATGAGGTTTAGGGTGGAGGCCTGGGCTTATCATCACAGCCACTGCAGAGTTTCCTCTGCTGTCCCTGTGAACACAAGAGGCCACTGTTCCTCCTGGCCCCTTTGGCCTCAGATAGGAAACCTTCCCACTTAGCTCATCTACCTACTTCCATTTTCTCCTAGTCCAATGCTTCTGTCTTCCTTTTAATTAGGGAGAGGAGGATATTAAGATGAGGATCTAGAGAGCCTTTGATCATGTTCCCAGGTTGGAAAAATATAAATAGCTTTGTACCAAAACCAACCTAACTATAGGTTTGTCTGACTCTTATCCAAAATGCTTAGGATCAGAAGTGCTTCAGATTTAGAATTTCAGAATATTTGCCAGTTCAACAACCCTAATCCAGATATATGAAAACCAAAATGCTCCAATAAGCATTTCCTTTGAGCATGACCCTGGAACACTCAAAAAGTTTTGGATTTTGGAGCATTTCGAATGTCAGATTTGACCAGGTGTGGTGTCTCACACCTGTAATCCCAGCACTTAGGGAGGCTAAGGTGGGCAGATCACCTGAGGTCAGGAGTTTGAGATCAGCCTGGCCAATATGGCAAAACCCTATCGCTACTAAAAATACAAAAAAATGAGCCAGGCTTGGTGGCAGGTACCTGTAATCCCAGCTACTTGGGAGGATGAGGCAGGACAATCACTTGAACCTGGGAGGTGGAGGTTGCAGTGAGCCAAGATCGTGCCATTGCACTCCAACCTGGGCAACAAGAGCAAAACTCCACCCCCCCAAAAAAATAAAGGAATGTCAGATTTTTGGATTAGGGATGCTTAGCTTGTAATATACATTCACCTATAAAATAAGAAGCCATGACTTTAATATATTCCAGTACCAAATCTGGCCTCTTAGGATATTTGTGGCTATAGAGACAAAGAATAAGTAATATGATTTTAACAAAGATATCTTTGTTATATCCAATATCTTTGGCCCAGCTTAGTAAAGGCATAGAAACCCAGAAAGAAAGGCCCAGAAACCCAGGCTTCTGAAGCCTCAGCCCTACAAGGACAGCTTCTCATCCCAGTGCACTGCAGAATACGCAGAAGATTTTAACTCTACTCCCCACTCTCCCCTTCTTGCTTGCACACCTGAGCTCCCTCCTTCAGAACAATGAGGAATACCATCCACAGCCCGGCTCTCATTCTCTCTACTAAGGCTGCACTGCAAAAACAGTGTCGATTCCCTCCCCGTCTTCTCTTCCCTCTTTTTCTTATTACCACCTCTAGAGAGCAGTGAAATTCCTAGATTGATATGTAAGTTGCTTCTTTCTAAGGTGACTTATAGCATTAAGAATCTTCTGTGCTATGGAAAAATTTTCTTCCCCTCACACTTAGTGCCTTTGCTGAAATAATGTTTTGGCATCTGTATCTTTTTCCCCTCAATTCCCTTGAGCATTTATGTTCTTGTTCACCTGGCTGATTTCTAAAAATATAATATGCTTATGCAGATATTTTATCTTTATGCTCTGAAAAATGCTGTCGAATTAGACACAAAGTGACCTACTATCCCATCTGTCAAAATCACTCGCACAGCTCATCCAACGGAAGGTCATAAAACAGCTTGGTTAATCTTATTTTAAGTGTTGCATTTATGTCCTGCAAGTTGCTAAATCAGGACTAGCAGTAATTCATTTAACACATATTTTCGGGGTACAGAACTTATTGGTACTAAGGAAACTGCTCCCAGTGAGGAGGGGGACACAATTACTGAATAATAAATGAATATAATTTCACATAGTGCTAACTACCGCAGGTTGAATATCCCTAATCTAAACATCCAAAATCCAAAAGCTCCAAAATCTGAAACTTTTTGAGGGCCAACATGACCCTCCAAGGAAATACACTCACACTGGAGCATTTTGGATTTCTGATTTTGGATTAGGAATGCTGAACCAGTAAGCCGAATGCAAGTATTCCAAAATCTTAAAAAATGTGAAATCTGAAACATTTCTGGTCCCAAGTACTTCAGATAAGGTATACTCAACCTGTATGACAATGAAACAGACTGCTACAAGAAAAAAATGGCCTACAGCATCTGCAGACTGTCTCATAATGTGGCTATTGTCCAAAGCAGAGTTTAGAGCACTAAACATGGAAACAAGGGGAAGCCACATCTGCCTAATCCTTTCAGAAATCACATACCTCATTCTTGGTCTTCCAAGGGCAATGTATCCTCCCTTCAACCCTCAAACAGTTCCCTCACCACAGCCTGATCATGCCCCACTCACACATCTCTAAATTAGAGCTCTCGTCTCTAACTTTCTTGCTATATTCTAACTGTACTTTATTTTATTTGAATTAGTCAATTTTTCTTTCAGTAGAGCAAGTCTGTGAAGGCAGATCATATTGTATTTGGAATACAGAAGGTACAAACATCAATATTTATTTGTATTTGTATATGTATATATGTATGTATACATTTTTGTGCATGTATTTATGTGTGTATATGCATGCATATACATGTACATTTGTGTGTGGTGCATACATATGCACAGTCATGTACTATAAAACAATGTTTCGGTCAATGACAGACTGCATATACGAGAGTGGTACCATAAGATTAAAATAAAGCTAAAAAATTCCTATCACCGAGTGACACCATAGCTGTTATAAGGTCGCAGCACAATGAATCACACATCTGTGGTGATGCTGGTATAAATCAAACTACTGTGTTGTCAGTCACATAGAAGTATAGCACATACAATTATGTACAGAGCATAATACTTGATAATGACAATAAATGACTATGCTACTGGTTTGTGTACTTATTACACTATACTTTTTATCTTTTTATTTTAGAGTGTACCTGTTCTATAAAAATAAAATGTTATCTGGAAAACAGCCTCAGGCAGGTCCTTCAGGAAGTATTCCAAAAGAAGGCATTGTGACCATAGGAGATGACAGCTCAATACATGTTATAGCCTCTGAGGACCTTCCAGTGGGACAAGGTGTGAACAGGGATATTGATAATCCTGGCTATGTGTGTATTTCTGTCTTAGATTTTAACAAACAAAGCTTAAAAGTGGAAAAATTTTAAATTATAAAAACAGAAAAAAAAGCTTACTGAATAAAGGACATAAGAAAAAATATTGTTTTACTTCTCCGGTATAAAACCAGGCACACAGACCAATGGAAGAGAACAGATAACCCAGAAATAAAGCCAAGTAAAGGCCAACTGATCTTTGACAAGGCAAATGGAAACATAAAGTGTGGAAAGGCCACCCCTTTTAACAAACGGTGCTGGCATAACTGGCAAACCATAGGTAGAAGAATGAAACTGGATAATCATCTCTCACCTTGTACAAAAATTAACTCAAGATGGATCAGGGTCTTAAATCTAAGACCTGAAACCACAAAAATTCTAGAAGATAAAATTGAAAAAACCCTTGTAGACACTGGCCTAGGCAAAGATTTCATGAGAAAATTTCAAGAACCATGGAGCAAATGCAACAAAAACAAAGAGAAATAGATGGGACTTAATTAAACTAATAAAGTTCTGCACAGCAAAAGAAACAATCAGCAGAGTATGCAGACAACCCATGGAGTGGGAGAAAAGCTTTGCAATCTATACATCCAACAAAGGACTAATATCCAGCATCTACAAGGAACTCAAACAAACCAGCAAGAAAAAAAAATCCCATCAGAAGTAGACTAAGGGCATGAATAGACAATTCCCAAAAGAAGATAAACAAATGGCCAACAAACATATGAAAAAATGCTCAACATCGCTAGTGATCAGGGAAATGCAAATCAAAACCACAATGTGATACCACCTTACTCTTGCAAGAATGGCCATAATTAAAAAAAAATTTTTTAAATATATGTTGGCAGGGATGTGACAAAAAGAGAACACTTTCATATGCCTGGTGGGATTGTAAACTAGTACGAGCACTATGGAAAACAGTGTGGAGATTTCTTAAAGAACTAAAAATAGAACTACCATTTGATCCAGCAATTCCACTACTGGGTATCTACCCAGAGGAAAAGAAGTCATTATACGAAAAGGATAGTTTCACACATGTTTACAGCAGCACAATTTGCAATTGCAAAAATATTGAACCAGCCCAAATATCCAAGCCCATTAATCAATGAATGGATAAAGAAATTGTGGTTTATATATACCGTGGAATACCACTCAGCCATAAAAAGGAAATAAATAATGGCATTCTCAGCAACCTGAATGGAATTGCTAGGTGAAGCAACTCAGGAATGTAAAACCAAACATCATATGTTCTCATTTGTAAGTGGGAGCGAAGCGATGAGAATGCAAAGGCATAAGAATGTTACAATGGACTTTGGGGTCTCAGGGAGTGGAGGAGGAAAGGGTGGGAGGAGCGTGAGGGCTAAAAGACTACAAATTGGGTACAGTGTACACTGCTCGGGTGATGGTGTACCAAAATCTCAGAAATCATCACTAAAGAACTTATTCATATAACAAACACCACCTGTTCCCCCAAAACCAATGGAAATCAAAAATTAAAAATTAAAAAAAATTCTACATAATGCTTATGTTTTAAGCTGTTATTACTAAAGAGTCAAAAAGTTAAAAAATAATTTAAAAGTCTGTAAGATAAAAAGTTAGAGTAAGCTAAGGTTAATTTATTGTTGAAAGAAAAGTTTTACACAAATTTAGTGTAGTCTAAGTGAACAGTGTTCATAAAGTCTACAGTAGTGTACAGTAATGTCCTAGGCACTCACATTCATGTACCAGACACTCACTGACTCACCCAGAGCAAATTCCAATCCTGCAAGCTCCATTCATGGCAAATGCCCTATACAGCTATACCATTTCTTACCTTTTATGTCATATTTTTACTGTACCTTCTCTACGTTTAGATACATAAATATCATTGTGTTCCAATCACCTACAGTACTCAGTACAGTAACATGCTATACAGGTTTACTGCCTGGGAGTAATAGGCCATACCATATAGCCTAGGCATGTAGTAGGCTATACCATGTAGGTTTGTGTAAATAAGCTCTATGATGTTCACACAATCAGAAAACTGCCCAACCACACATTTCTCAGTATGTGTCACATTGTAAAGCAACACAACTGGATATAATCTTGCATGTACATATCTGACTAGAAGATCCAAAATGCTACCCAACTTTTGATTACATTATTTGGCACGATGTGAAATAATGACTGGCTACATCTCTTTAAAAATGTTCAACTTTCATGCCAAAAAAATAAACTAAGCAAAAGAGGTGAGCAAAAACAATGTTAAAGGAGAATGAATAGGCTTCCTTTCTTCCTCCTTGCCTTCCATTGTTTTCTCTGAGATTCCTCTTGGCTGAGTATAGGAGGATTTCATAGGAGTTAGCTCTGGATGACTTATAATTCTAAATACGAAAATATCAATGCCACATTTTAATTTTAGAATTCCTAGCCATCAAAGTCAGGTAATGCTCAGATAAGTTAAGAGGCCAAAACAATTTAGAAAGCACTGAATCCAACCTCTCCATTTTACAGAAGAATTATAGGCCCAGGAAGACCAACTATCTTGCCCAGTCAGAAGCAGCTTAAGAACAAACTGGAAGCCAGGCATTCTCAGGCTTTTTCACCTCACATCTTGGTACCATAACCTCATGCCCCAACCCTCTTGAGAGCACAGGATGAAAGAAGACAGCAGAAAGAGGCTCAGATAGTCCCTCCATCCACAGCTAGTCAGGGCTAGACACTCTCATGGTTTCCCAAGGAGGAGATAGAGAGAGATCAAGGTGAGGTGTGACTTCCCCCTTAGAAGTGTTTCATGTAGAAGACCACAGACACCCACCCAGAAAATAATACATACGTTACATGGATGAGACTGCTTTGAATATAGTGCCTAAAACCTCACAGATATAGCAAACTTCCTTCCAGTCTTTTTTTGTTCTGAAAGTTCTGGGGCTTCTATCACCGAGCTGTGCTAAGGCCAAGTGTACATGATTACAGCAAGCACCATGCAGGACCTCCTTCATTTCTTTCTGTCCTTCCCCACTTCCTCTCCGATCTTCCTTCTTTTATCCACCTGCCTTTCATTTCATTCCTTCTTCTGGACAAATAGTTCTATTATTTATTCATGTTGGCTTTTCACACTGGATTCCAGAAAGCCCTAAGGAAACTTTTAAATCAACTGATAGCAACCCTGCTAAACTTGTGATCAGCATAAATGTTTCTTATTTTTCTTTCTCTTTTTTTTTTTTGTGAGATGAAGTTTCGCTCTTGTTACCCAGGCTGGAGTGCAGTGGCGCAATCTCAGCTCACCGCAACCTCCGCCTCCTGGGTTCAGGCAATTCTCCTGCCTCAGCCTCCTGAGTAGCTGGGATTACAGGCACACGCCACCATGCCCAGCTAATTTTTTGTATTTTTAGTAGAGACGGGGTTTCACCATGTTGACCACGATGTTCTCAATCTCTTGACCTCGTGATCCACCCGCCTCGGCCTCCCAAAGTGCTGGGATTACAGGCGTGAGCCACCGCGCCTGGCCTCTTATTTTTCTTTTCCTTATACTAGAGCCCATTTGCTGCAGGGATGAAAGCAGTAAAAAAAAAAAAAAAAAAAATCATTTAAAAATCTTCTAGGATGGAAGCAAGCATAAATAAAGTTCAATAAGTAATGAAAACGTTATAAATAAACCGCTTTGGGGTATCCAAAATCTTTCTTTGGCTTTGTTGTTTATACCACCAAGGAAACTGTAGAGAAGGCAAATATGGTGACCTGCCTCCCCACCTAGAGTACAGTTATTTGTACCTCCCTCTGCCCTCCAAAGAGACCAAGGGAATCCTGATCAAGCCACTTAGGAGAGCCTGAATCTTTATCCACCTCCAGGGATCTCATCTGGGCTCTAGGTGTTTCTTAAAATCCTGAAACTATATGCAAAACTGTATGCAGGAATCGACCCTAGAACTATCACCTGCGAATATTTCAGTCTTTTTGAAAATCTACGTAAAGAATTTTAACCTATAGAGAATGCTGAACAGTGTTTGCCTCCCTTATTAAGGAAAAAATGTAAATGTGGTTTCATCTTACTTTACTGAATTTCCTAAGATTCTCTTGAAGAGCTCCAAAACATGATAGTCACTTCTGACCTACTTGAACATCAAAACTGAAATGAATGATTTTTTTGGATACTTCAAACTCTGCTATTTTATAAATTTAAAAATATATAGATTTTTACCAACTCAGCATGGTGTGGAGTGGGAGGGCAAAGACAGACTGGAAATGGCACATGCAGCCTTTACTTTATTTTCAGGTGTCCTGGACTCCCGGGTGACATTTCCACAAGATAGGCATGGCCCAGGCAGTGCTCTCAAATGGTGTCTAGAGAGTCCCTGCAAGTCACTCTGCTCCCTTTTCTCTGTCCTCAGCCCATTCTCACCAACGAGAGGGAACTCACACTTGGTGGCCGGCCCGGGATGACTCACCACGTGCCCGCTGAGGTCACGGCGGAAGCCAGAGGCCTGCTGGCTCTGATAGTACTCCAGCTGCTTCTCTGCCAGTTCTACCCGCTGTAACAGATTCTCAATAAAGTCCTGGAGCCGGGCTTTCCCTTGAACCTCCTTCTCAGCTGCCGCTTCCAGAAAATGGTTGAATGTGACAACTTCTCTGCGAGGCAAAAATGTCAGAACACAAAATGGAAATATGAGGCAAGGAATTCACTCATTCAACACATATTTATTGAGTGCCTGCTATGTGTCGGTTACTACCCAAGGCAGTACTCCATGGCAATGATGAGAGAGGTAATCACCTCTTAGTGATTACATTCAGGGATCGCATCTCAGTAGAGGAAGATAATCACTATAAAACATACAAATAAATATGTCAGATATATGTCATAAGTGCTAAGAAAATTGCAACTGGATGCAAGGGGACAGTGACAGAGGAAGGAAAAGAGTGAGGAATATTCTAAAAAGCAAAGTTAGAAATGACCTTTTGAATAGGGTAACATTTGAACAGAGACCTGAGAAAGCCCAGAGGAAGAAGCCATGCAGGGGTTTAGGAAGAGCAAACCAGGGGCATGCAGGTGGGTCTGAGGTACAGCAAGGGTCTCTACATGGAGAAGGGAGCCAGGTAGGGCCTCGCAGGTCACTGTGAGGCTTCAGGTTTTATTACGAATGAGATGGGAAACCATTGGATATATTGCTTTTAAGACAAGCCCTGTCTTGGATTTTTAAAGTCTGGCTATTAAGAGAGAAAACTCTACAGGGAGGGAAAGTATAGGAGCAAGAAGCCAAACTGAGCACCAAAACAGCACATCCAATGAGTCATCTTATCCAACAGTATATTTTTGAGCTAAGAACTAAACAACCCATACAGCTACCTCGAGGTCAACCCAAAGACCACTGGGAAAACTATTCTAGTGTGGATATAAGAGAAGTAATGCATGGGTCGCCCTCCCCTAAGAAGGGGAGCAAAATACTTCAACTAATCTTTTAGCTACATAATTCACAAGTACATTACAAATCCTGAAAAATTCTAATAACTTTATTACCACCTTATATTTTCCTTTCATTTTTTATGAAAACAGTATTTTTTCTGATTTATAAACAATATAAGCTCTGTATTTAAAAAATTCAAATAGGGTCAGGCACGGTGGCTCACGCCTGTAATCCCAGCACTTTGGGAGGCAGAGGCGGGCAGATCACAAGGTCAAGAGATCGAGACCATCCTGGCCAACATGGTGAAACCCAGTCTCCACTAAAAATACAAAAATTAGCTGGGTGTGGTGGCCCACGCCTGTAGTCCCAGCTACTCGGGAGGCTGAGGCAGGAGAATCACTTGAACCTGAGAGGCAGAGATTATAGTGAGCCTAGATGTGCCACTGAACTCCAGCCTGGCAACAGAGTGAGACTCCGTCACAAAACAAAACAAAACAAAATTCAAATAGTACATGAGGAATATAAAAAAGGAAAGATCACCTGAAACTCCATTATCCTGAGACCACCACCATTATCTTGGTAGCCATTCTCACGAGCATCACACTCATCTCCAAACACACCCACCCAAGCACACACACAGTTTTCCTTCTTCTCCCACCTTGCGCTCACATCTCAATTCCCCTCTCCGTACCCTCTTTCCCAGGCCAAGGACCCAGTAATCACCACTATGAATAGGTGTATGTTGCCACAGTTCTCTCCACCCTATTGTCTCTACTCACTAAGAAGCCAGGAATATCCTTTCAGTCATCATCCTTGTGTATTCTACCAGTCCCACTGGAGCTAACGAATTCTGTAATTTTACTGTCTGTTGGATAGTATTTCCTTTACATGTCTCCAAAATCTCTTCAATCTCCATGGAATGGCCTCTTGTTGTTTTTGCCATGTTCAACTTACACAAGATTCTAAAGACTCTACTTTCTGTCCTTTCAGGCTCTTTCCATTTTGATTTGTGAACCCTAATTTTTGTTTAACTTGATTCAGTTGTTCTAGACAGCCAATTAAATTCATTGGCTATTGGCTTTTCTGCATCTTCTCAACCTCCACTTGATCTTTATTTTCCATTGAGCTCTATAATTTCTTGAGAGTAGAACTTTAGGGAAGTCTGGCTAAAAAGTCAGAATTTTACATAAGATCTTTGCAAAACAGCTCGTAACTTCCAGCTCTTTTCTTCTGTACTAATAGTCAGTGTGCCACCTTTACAATTAGTGAAAATTTTTCTCTCACATATTAAATCACACTTGGCATACTGAAACTTTTCTGACACTTCCTATAGAATCACACATCCCTGCAAAACTTTGGGAATTACATATTTATAAAAACAGGTAACAGGCTGGCTCTAATAATGATTCACTCAAAGAAATGCTAGTGATACCACCCCCATTTTTTTCTAATTTCCTATCCAGGATCGAACATAAACCCTAATTCCATAATAATTCTATCATCTTTCAGTAGCTAAGAAATATCCACACAAAAGAATTAAGAGTCCTTTTGGAAAAGAATTTTTTTCATCATCAAGTTTCAAGTTAATTTCCAGATGTTTCCATCTCAGCCCTCAATAGATGTGTACTTTTCAAGGTCCTCATTATTCAGGCCATGAACACAAGCCAATTTTTAAGCTCAACCATTATTCACTTTGATCTGCCTCCTGCATGAGCCTCGAACCTTAACTAGCAGCAAAGGAGGGGTCGTTCCCCTCAGCCCTTTCATGGTTCTTGCTTATAGTTTAGGTCCTTTGGGATGGTGTATTCTGGAAACGCACCACAGGAAAATGGCTGCTACTTCTTATTTCCAACATTTAGGCTTCAATTCATTTGGCGTCTGAGAATCCAAATCTCTACAAGCCTGTTATAGAGATTTCCTGGGTGATATTTAGGATAACTGAATGATGAAACTGTCTCCAAACTGTACTTACAGGGCAAACAACCAAAAGTTGAAAAAAAAAAAAGGTACCATTTAAAAAAATTCATTTTGGTCAACATTTCCTATATTTATTTGATTATAGAAATGGTTTACATATATTAAGGAAAATATAAAAATTGACCTATTGGAAGATTCAACTGGGCAGGGATGGAATCAGCTTTTGTTCTCTAAGTCCAACACTCAATATAATTGTGTTTGACACACAATATTGAATAAGTGTTTGCTGTAATTAATGTTTATAAAGGACAAGGAAGAAACTAAAAATGACCCAAAATCCCACCACTCAGAAGTAACTACTGTCAACATCCGGTATATTTTTCCCTGTCTTTTATCTCTGTGCCGTGCACATTTTTTGCTTTTTTGAGAGTCCCACTCTGCTGCACAGGCTGGAGTGCAATGGCACGATCTCGGATCACTGCAACCTCCAATTCCCTGGTTCAAGCAATTGTCTTGCCTCAGTCTCCCGAGTAGCTGGGATTATTACAGGCAAACGCCATAACACCTGGCTAATTTTTTTGTATTTTTAGTAGAGATAAGGTTTTTTCATGTTGGCCAGGCTGGTCTCAAACTCCTGACCTCAAGTGATCCGCCCACCTTGGCCTCCCAAAGTCCTGGGATTACAGGCGTGAGCCACTGCGCCCGGCCTCTGTGCACATTTACTATTCTAGGGCTTTCATGCTATACAGTTTAGCATATGTGAAGGCAGCAACATTTGATGGTTTAATCTCGGGAGATTAGCATACCAAAAGCAAGAGAACAAATCTGAATGCAACACCTTTTATGATTGTGGCTATATTTTTAAATCATATAATATTTTGCTACTGGTTCCATATGAAACTTTAAAAAATTAATATTAATGACAATATTAATTTTAATAGGATCCTGGAATGTTATGCCACGTTATAGAAAAGAAAGATCTTTTTTCTAACTTTGCTCAACCAATTATCTTGTGCCCTGAAGCTGAGAGGTTAATACCCTCTGTATTTTTCAACCAATCTGCCACAAACTGCTAACCTAATTTCAGTTTGTAGATATACCACATCAACTAGGGCAGAAAAAAAAAACAGTTAAAACAAACCTGATGATATACTATGGTTTTGTTTTAAAAGAGAAGTTAAACACAAGACAAAGACTAGAGAATTTCATTACACCAAGATTGTGTAGGGTATCTTTGTTACATGAAAAAGGTATCAAAACCAAGTGACTAATTGTGGAATATCATGTGTGTACATCTCAAATCCACCTTTCATTCACATCCTGTTCAACGTGGATGAATATCCAGAACCACCTCTTATTTCCTCACAGAATCCTGGGGTTTTTCTGAATGGAAAAGAAAAATGGTTAATCACATTGCATTTGTAACCTCTTTCATAATTACACTCTAAACAGTAAAATATCCATTCAAAGTGCAAGACAGACCAATAGATTTCAACGTAAGAAAGTACAGAATGTTCACTGATACGGCTTCAGATCCCACATTGCAATGACTCTTTAAGAAACTACCAACTGTCACATTTGGCACAGCATCAAAGCAAAATATCCACGATTATCTGAGAAGGCTATTAAAATATCCCTCCATTTTCCTACTAACATATCTGTGGGAGACTGGATTTTCTTCATCTGTTTCAACCAAAACAACAAATTTGCAATAGACTGAATGTGGAACTACCAAAGTCCAGCTGCCTTCTATTTAGCCACACATAAACTTTTAAAACAATACCATTCTTTTCACTAAATTATTTCTGTGAAAATAGTTACTTTTCATAAGTTATTTACATTAGCATGTAATAGATATGAACAGTGAGAGAGTCAGACAATGAAAGAAGGAAATACTGAAATAAACACGTAATTACAAAGCTAGTTAAGTGTGACTAAGAAAAAAAATAATATGATGCTATCGGACAGAACAATAGAAGACTTGTGTGGTTTTATTTCTAGTTCTCAACCCTATTACTCAGACTACAGTGAGAAAGCTGGAAGGCCAGATGAGAAGATAAGGGCCAGCCTGAGTGAAACTCAATCAGGGTGTGGATACAAACCAGCCTTGGGGAAATTTAACTGGTTCTAAGCCACTTCTGGCCCCATCTTTGACTACTTCTTTATTAAAAAAAAAAGGCTAAATAATATTAAATCCAAGGTATCAGGCTTCAGTAGAAAATATGCTTATTTAAAGCAATATTTGATACTAAAAAAAAAAATACCAGTACAGTATAAGAAACTGACCTTGAAGTTCATTGTTATGCAGAA